ACTAGAGTACCGTACTGTGGACTCGTCTCGGTGACTGCGAATATCCCCCAGGTCAGGAGCAATAGAAGTGGGGAAGGAGAGGAGGAGGGGAGGATCGAAAAGAAAACTACTAGGAATGAACGAAGTATGAGGGTGCATTTGGCTTGTGTCAAGCTTCCGATCATCCGCGGATGACCAGAAGTTGGACCCACTTTGGGTCATCCAAGGCCAACTTCGGGTCTTCCGGCCTAAAATTGCCCCAGAAAAAAAAGGTTGACAGGAAGTTTAACCCAAGGCTTCGGCTCTTCCCGGGAAGGCCCGAGCTTGACACGAGAAGGAATGAACGAAGTACAGTATGAGACCCTTCTCTGGTGCTCTGCGTACGTCACAAGATAGGGTCTCATACTGTACCAGTATGACGTAATCTGTTTCTGACAGGGAGTGCGTGCGTGTTGCGGCGGTATGATTTTGAGGCGAGGTGAGGTGAGGAGGGGATTTAGTAGAGGATGCTGAGTCACCGCGGGATGGACCTCAGGCATGATAAAAAGAAACAAAGGTCAGACTTTGTCACAAAGTCGAAACCACATGGTTTCGAGGCACTCCAACGGAAATATTGCTTCGAGGCGCGAAGCCACAGAACGCAACGGAGCACGCCAGACGCTCCCTTCCTGGATCCCCACCCTCCCCTTTCTCTCCAGAGTCGAATTTTCTGCTCTGCCTCAAGAAAAATGGCTGAGAGGGAAAGGGAAGGGATTTAGGAAGGAGCCAGAGTAGGGGGGAGAAGAGGAGGAGGAAGAAGAGGGGTCAGAAATATCGAGGGACTGGATGGCTTGATGGCTCTTCAGTTCGGTTCGGTTCGGTTCGCCTCGGTGCTGCTGCCTAGCTGAACGCGCAGCCTCGGCTTGCGGCAGCGTGCGGCACGGCTCAACAAAGTTACGAAAATAATCATGACTCGTTATGGCCAGAGCGAGACTAACCAGTGCGGGTGCAACTTCGTCAGATTCAGGTCCCGATAGCAACTCAGCAGCCAGCAGGGCAACACACACGCATGCTCCTTCCCATCTCGCTCACTAGCACTATGCATTCTATGATGCAAAACGACCAAAAGTCCGAGTTCTGCAACGGATCTACACGCTGGCGCGATAGATTCGCGTAGTTGCATCAGGACCAAATAGAGAAGTCAGATGTCAGAGTGTCTTAAAGATTTTGACGTATGTCCTTTTGAGTCAAAATAAGCCGTGCTGGTTCAGCGACTACAGATGTTCTGGCTTATAGGCCCTTCCTAAAAGAGTCCCGTTTTCTCGTCGAATATATTTTTCACATGAGTCATAGGTGTATCCCCTCCTTTACAGTCCCCTTTTTGGCGGGAAATCTTGCATCTTGACTCAATCATTGCACGAATCAGTTCCGCAGCCAATCAGAGGACACAAATCGAACCAGCCAGAACATTCACGGAAACTGATGAGGGAAGTTTTGATTCCAGATTTACTCTCGCAATTGCTATTGTTTGTTTCTCTTGACCGCGCTTGCGTAAAAATCCCGTCGCGCAGTTCCCAGCGAGCTCGACGATGACATCCCGCTGCGGGCCTAACGAGCAGGCGCGGCGGTGGGCGGAACGGGCAGGCGCGGCGGCGCGAAGGGAGGGCTCGCGGCGGGCCTAACGAGCAGGCGCGGCGGCGGGCTAACGAGCAGGCGCGACGGCGCAAAGGCAGGGCCCGCGGCGGGCCTAACGAGCAGGCGCAGCGGCGGGCTAACGAGCAGGCGCGGCGGCGCGAAGGGAGGGCATAACGGGAGGCGCGCGACGGACGGGCAGGGGAGGCGCGTCGGTGGGCTAACGAGCAGGCGCGTCGGTGCGAAGGCAGGGCCCGCGGCGGGCCTAACGAGCAGGCGCGACGGCGGGCTAACGAGTAGGCGCGGCGGCGGGCTAACGAGCAGGCACGGCGGCGCGAAGGGAGGGCATAACGGGAGACGCGCGTGACGGACGGGCAGGGGAGGCGCGCGCGACGAACGGGCAGAGGAGGTGCGCGCGACGGGACGGGCAGGGGGAAGCGCGGGCGACGGGACGGGCAGGGGGAAGCGCAGGGGACGGACGGGCAGGGGGAAGCGCGGGGGACGGACGGGCAGGGGGAAGCGCGGGGGACGGACGCGTAGGGGGAAGCGCGGGGGACGGATGGGCAGGGCGGAGACGCGACGCTACGCAGAAGGCGCAGTGGGCGCTAACGAACGAGAGAGACGGGCGGCGCTAGGCTCGGGCGAGACAGGCGCGACTAGGACTACGGAACGAGACAGGCTCGGGCGGAACGAACGTGGACGGGAGGAGCGGGATCCCACAGGATCCTAACCTAGCTGATACCATGTTAGCAACTGAGTGGTGGTTCATTGATGTGGGTTGGGGTACATATAGCAAACCCTAACATTTGTACCCCCTAAGACAAGCCTCACTACAGGCTACAACATTTGACAGATTTTGACAGGAAATTAGCTGCGAGCTAGGAACCGCGCATTTCGGCGCATGAGACGCTTCCATAGCTGTCCAGGTTGCCTGACTATGAGACATGCCCAGGTTTCACGGCCAGCTTATCCTGACTGGTCGGCATGTGTGACCAGAGCTTCAGATTCGTTTTGGGCCACCCTTAGTAATCAGGGTTCTAGGTATAGTCAACCCTGATGCGTAGGGTAATGTTTTTTTTTCTTGACAAATGCAGGGTAAAAAAAATGTAAGTCTGTTTGGCCATGTTTATTTTTAAAAAACACTGATATGAATAATGCTAAAGTAGTCATGCACAACACTTAGTGGCTCAGTTGATTCAAATACAAGTTAGGGCGTGTGTGGTCTCTCCAAAAGTTAAAAAAAAAAGTGCGAACTTTGTGTGGTTACCCTTTTCGCCAAATTCGCCAACTAATGTTAGCGAAATGACGAAGCTATCGGAATTTCAAATATTCGAACTGCAAATCTGAACTTGACTGGAGTGCGCGCACTTCAGGCATACGTGTGTGATTTTCAGCACGTGCGAGGAGCTGGCGAAACGGGCGGCAGCTTCGCGAAGATGAAAATTTCAAAACGAAATCAGCCCACGATTAGTGCACTCGTCGGTTGCCACGTGGCAACATCCTTGGCATGTACGTGAGTACCAGGTAACCTACTTTAAATTCGATTTTACCGGGTAACCTATTTTGTTGACGCGCGGCTCGGCGCGCTATTTAGAAGGTCGAATGTCAGGGCTCGACCTTGTATGTTTGCGTGGTTTTTGTTGTGTTGTAGTCCAGATGTTCGAACCGCAAAACAAGGAAAGTCGAGTTTGATTCGACTTAAGTTCGTTTCGCACAATTCGCCCTAAGAACGTAAACTTTTACGATTTTCAAGGACCACATACGCAGGGCTGACGTTTCATATTAGGTCTCCCTGATTGCGGGGGAAAATTTTCCCCTCTATTATGAGTGCACATTTTTCAGAATAATGCTGCCCTAACTGCTCATGGTTGAAAAGTATGTAACTCTGATTGTTCAGGGTCGAAAATCGAAGATCAGTGTTAACGCACCATTTTTTACCGGGGAAAAAGTCTCGCTTTGCGTCAAGTCTGCGCTCTGTGTTTCGCGCACACCTTGTGCGCGCTAATTTTCGCCCTTTTAGTTTCACAAAACAGTATTTATCCACGCGTTTTAGTGCGGGGAAGAGACGAGTGATTTCGGTCAACCAAACATTCCGATTCGATACCACAGATGTGCCAAGTTTTTAATTCGCCAAGTACCCGAGTGTCGCCAGCATCTCTGTGCGAAATACTAAAATTGTCTGGTAACTTCACGCACGCGCAATTACGGCAGTACAACGACCTATTCGTAATGCGTGACAATATAATCTATTGAGTGTACTCACATGTTAGACATGCTGTTGTGCGTCGCTCACGCGCTGGCTGTACCACGATCAATCCGAAGGGGGATATCGGAAGGAAATTTCCAGGAACCTTCGTCCCGATACCCTCTCATTCCGGGTCAACAAGACGCGTATTCTATATTGACAGAGTCAGTAAGAAGACTACTCTGAGCCTGGATTGAAGATTTCAGGGTTCGCTAAAGTCCTTATCTGAATGGATCAGAGTTCACAAGTCACAAATTCTGAAATGGCAGGGACCACCAAGTGACAAGCCTGTAATCACCCTGAAATCAGGGTAATTACCCTGATAAAATCAGCCCTGCACACACGCGCTTAGATCGGAATGGTCGCGGGTTCGAGTCTCGCGGTGGGGAGTATTTTGCCGGGGCCCGTATAGGGTTTCGCCTCGCTATGGAGGATTCGGTATCAGTGTAACTGGGATTGTACACTGTACAGTCATAGAAATATGTTTCTTACGCTGTTTTTCAAAGGGTACAAAAAAACTTACACTTTCTGGCCTAGGGTAAAAAATCCACTACCCTGCCTGTGAAAGGGTAACTGAAAAAAAAGTGGCCGCCAGTCAGTGCAAAAAGGGTATTTTACCCTGATAACGAGAGGCCCGTGTGTGACTGATCGTCGCGTCATGAAGATCATCCGATTTAGGGTATGTTCCTGGCTCGTGTCAAACTTCCGGTCTTCCCGAACGAAGCTCGCCCCACAGCTGGCCCCACTTCGGGTCTTCCCACAAAAATTTGCCTCTGGCTCGGAAAACACGAAGTTTGGCCGGAAGTTTGATACGAGCCAGGAACGTACCCTTAGTCTTCCTCACTGGGTTCAGCCCTTCTCAATTGATACACTCGGAAAATACACACAACCAAAACGAGCCCATTTTATTTCCCATATATACACAATCTAACGAGATCACCTACATCACACTCGCAGCACCCTATCCTCAAAATAAGCATACATGCTTGCCAATTCCGGCCACCAGAACATTTAATCGCCATCAATTCATCTCCAAGCCTCGAGTCTTCCTCTATTTAATCAAACAAGTCAATCCTTCCCCCGCCCGCACCGCCAGCCCTCTCTCCATTGAGATAGTCAGCTTCGCCCCCAATGTAACATCCCGGTAACAGAGTCGTTGGCGGCA